TAATTGCATATGTAATTATATAAGACAAAAAAATGGGACCAACCTTCTGTTCCCACGCACATGTATATATTACTGGATTTAATAATTAATTAATATTCTGATCGATAACCAATTGGTGGTTCATATTTTTACATGCACTGCGATCTTGGTTAATCTTAACGCCGGTAACCTCAGCGATCTTTCCGTCGTTGCCACCGCCGCTGTCCTCCACCGCCATGAGGCTAACAAGAAGATCGGCAAATGCTCCTATAATGAACCTGTGTGTACTTTTAGGATTCAATGCAAGGTAACACAAGAGAAGCTCATGCAAGTATTCCCAGTTAGCCTTGACGTCGAATAAGTCACGCGCCTCCACCATTTCCTGCATGGATCTCCTGAAATCAATGTATGGGTTGGGAGAAACAGTCGGGACGGCGACACTGTCGTCTACTGTAGTCTCGGGGGGCTATGTTCGTGACCGTCGTTGGAGGATTCATTTGCGTTATCGATATGGTTAATAGAACTGCTGGCTAATACGGTACCTGATGATTCCGGCGTAGTGGCGACTGATGAAGGCGGTGTTGATTCAATGATGGAGTTGGAGGTACCCGGAGAAGTGAAGAAGAAGCGCTGTGAAGAAAAAACGGTGGCGAAGTCGGGTTCGTAGTCGGATTCGGGCTCTTGGTCGAAGGAGAGAGATGAGGAGTGGGTTAAGGATTTGGAAGTTGAGTAGTTGAAGGTGTTGTCATAGAGGGAGTTATAGTTCTTGAAGATGGCTGATGATGCGGTGGTGGTGGCCGCGGAGGAGGCTAATAGACGGCGGCTATCATCTGGGGTTAGCGGCTGCGAAGAGGAAGGTTGGGAGGCTAAAGGGAATCTGATCTTTTTGAAGCAGAGATTAAGGTTTTTGCCCAGGCCGTTTGGCATAATTTTGGCCCCCAAAAAAAAACAGAAGGAAAATGGAGTGCGAGCTTAGTAATTCTGATTATTTCGGTGTTGCTGTTTGGTTAGAAAGAAAGTGGAGAGGAGTATGAAAGGGGAAGGATGAATTAAAATATTTGTGAATATTGGAGGAAGGCAGAGATGAGGTGATGATGGCCAAGTTTTTGATGATTCATCATTTAAATTCAACGACGATTACTCCCGTACTATCATTTTACATATAAGGTGTCAAAAAGAATATTGACGAAAGTAATTGAGATTTAATAATTTAATATGGTAAGGTTAATTTTAAATTCTATCATTGTTATTTTTAATGAATGATTTATAAATTTTTATATAAATTTTAATTGAATTTTAGATATGTCACGATCTTAAATTAGGAGAGTTATCATAACCTAAACTTTTCGGTACCAAAATCATTTTATATATCAGGTATCATTCACCAGTACTATAATTTTATATACCAAGTATCAACCAATAATAAGGAATATTACATTTTCAATGAATAAATTTAAAACTTTACTTTAAGAATAACGTAAAAAGACCGCCACAACCCTAAAGCAGTAGCGGAGCCATGACTTCGGCTTGGTTAAGATAGGCAAAAATTCTAATTTTCTTTAGTTATTTATTTATTTTATTGATGGTGTCTATCCTGAAATCTAAGTTTTCTTCGATTAATTATTTATTTTAAGAACGGTGTATAGCCTGAAATTTTATTTGTGTCTAGTTCATTTAAAAATTTTATGTTGTTAATATATATATATATCCACCCTAAAAAAATATTTCTGGATCCGCCACTTCCCTAAACACAAATTAAAGAAAATGTTTTATTTGTATACTTTTAGGATCTTCTATATTTAAAGATTATATTAGATACATTTATAATATTATATGTATTTAATAAACTATTCGATATTTATATTTGGCGTTTTTGATAAATTTTGTATTTATCTTTTAAAAAAAATAGTTATATTTATCAAAAAATTATATATTTGGTAATTAGATTTTCACCTTTTATAAGTATATTATTTGTTTTTTAAACGATTTTAGAATCTATATTAATCAAATATTACGTAGTCAGTACTTACAGTTATAAAACATTACATAAAATAATCCACATTAAATAATTAAAAATAAAAAAATAAGTTTAAATTAATATTTAGTTCATTTTAAATTACAATATATTAGAATGTGAAATCCATATCATATTTTTATACATATTACATTGATTTAATAAATATAAGTACTAAATGCATAATGTTTGACAAATATAAATATCAAATTGTTTAAAAAGAAAGCACATGTTCCATATTTGTAAATTAAAATATTTAGATGACAAATATTTATCGTTTGATAAATATAAATACCAAATTAATTTAAGAAAAAAAAACATAAGTATCACAATTACAAAAGGTGACAAATTCAAATATATATATCAAATAGTGCAAGGAATATATTATATACTATTAATGTACTAGATAATATGATGTCACACTATTTGATGTTTTAGATTGAGTGTCATTATATTTAAAGTTAAAGTTAAACTTTAAACATGCATTAAATTTTGTTATTAATATGTTTAGAAATAAAACTTAATTTAACAAATGTTAAATTTATTATAATTGGATCCAATATATTATGTTAAAGTTGTGAGTCGTGGAGTTATATATAAATTGAGAGAGGGAAAGGGGGGGGGGGGTCTTAGATGAAATGGTAACGCAATGCGATAGAAAGAAAGGGAGAGGTCAGTGTGGTGGGTTGCAAGACAAAGTAAGATGGTCCAGTGAATGTTAAAAGAACCAAAGGCACATGGTGGTGGGAGCCCCAAGGTGGACCAATCCAACTAACATGCACATCTTGCTTCCGAAGGGCCCGCAACCACCGGTTCAGATTATCCACTTCCACTCCAAACCCTGAAGCGGTGAAGAAAATAAGCAGCTGCTGCTCTAGTCCTCAGATAAGGACGTTTGCAACCACTGCCACATTACAAAATCAAAAGTCGAGCATGAGATATCAACGACACGTTTGCAACTAATTACTACTCATTAGAACATTGGGGCATGAAAATCGTCGTTGATCTGGTAGGAGAGCTGTGAATTCAATCGTGCTAAAACTCTGCTGGCAAACACACAGATGTCTCAGTTTGCTCTTATTATATCACACAATCACAACAATGACATTATATACTTTGCTGTCCAATAAATAATACCAACAAGTTTCAATGCAACGTCCACACGTGATCGCTCATCACATGGCAACTAAGGGTTTTTGTACTCGTTGCTTGGATTAAAACTTATCCCAAAGTGTTCAATATTACATCGTATTTTTATCAAGTAGATCGTATTATGATTTTTTCTGATTAGAACAAATAAATTTGAGTCGCAATCTCTAATATAAATAGCATAAACTATATGTTTAGTATCTAGATTATTTCTTTTATTTTGTTTTGGTACTCAAACTTTATTTTGTTTCAAAATCATATCTAACGTTTAGTTTATGTTTTATTTTATTACCCCATCGTTAAAAACTTAACAGTGATGTTGACATGTCATCATAAAGTAATTGCAACTCATATGTTCTGTTATTTTTTAATTACAAGTATCAAATTAAAATATAAACTAAACATTAAGTACGATTTAAAAAAAATTTGAGTATCAAAACGAAATAAAAATAGTAGTATAAGTACCAACGTATAATTATCCATATAAATTATATGGAAGGACAGGGAGATCATAAAATGACTAATCATTGACCCATAAATATTTAAAGAAAAGAAGAAGGCTTATTTATCGTACTTGTCATGTGTACGACCAGATGATGAGGTTTCAGATCTTAGAAGCGAGCTGTAGGAGCTGTCGTGGTTTGGGATCTCTGCCCCATAAGCCACCCAAACGTGCTTTGTGAAAAAACTTCGTCGCCTGTTATGTGCATAAAGTTCTACAATCTGATATCCTTAATATATAATTAAAAAAATATGTTATCGATTTTGTTATTATTTAAATAATAATGTTTCACTGCTTTCACCTAATCTTTCTATCATTTTTTTAGATATTTTAAAACCACATATTTTAAATTAGAGTGGAGTATATAAATAGAAACTTGATTATATGATGTTACTTTATTATGATTTTCGACTATCATAACTATAATAGTAAGTTAGTTATATGATATTTTTTGTCGAGTCTCTTAACTATTAAAAGTTATAAAATGATCACTCATCGATTCATATATTCTAAATTCGTCTTTTACTATTAAGAAATTAAAGATCGTATTAGTTAAACGTTAACTTGTTAACCGTGATGTTATAAAATTTGATCATAAAACTATTTGAGTTAAAGACACATTATGTCATATTTTCGATACCTCATGTCATGTCAGTTGATTTTTTAATAATGAATAACGAGTTTGAAACATATGAATGGTTGAGTGACTATTTTGTAATTTTATTAATTATGAAATAAACAAAAAATATCTTATAACTAGAGGACCATTTATGTATTTTGTCCTTTAAAATTTAGAGAAATTTTAATAGTAAAAATAAATAGTACCCGTATTCGAGTCGTGACATTTATAAGATATATATGTTAATAATATCTAAAAAGCTATAAATAAATATTATTTTATGATATCTTAAATTAGTAAGATCTAATTATACGGTGTAAAACTTATTTTTCTAGTAATATTGAAAAAGAGAAATTAAAGATTTAGATTAATAATAGAAAATGAGAAGATATTCATTGAAAAAATAAAAAAGAAATTAATCTTAATTTTTAATTTCCCACAATCTAATGATTATAAAAAAATATAAAATTAAAAGAATTTGAAATATTATAAATGAATCTTAATCCATATATATATCGACATGGGACTGTAAGCTCAACCAATCAAATAGTAACATTGACATGGCAGCTTCAATTTATATTTGCATTTTCGTTGTGGAGTCGTTTTCTTGAGCCAACCCAATTCAGTTTCCTTTTACAAAAACCTCATTTCTCCAATTACGAATTGTGCTCGTGACCTCTACATCAGAAACTATACCAGCATTTTATCATTAACAATGTTAAATTAAAAATTAAAACTTAATAAAATTACATTTATATAATTAAAATTAGGAGTATCATCTTAATTCATAAGACTGTACAACAAGAATTAAAATCCACAGCAATAATAAAACTCGCAACTTGAAATATCATGATATTCCAAAAGCTCCTGGTTATATAATTTATATCATCTCCAAAACGACCCTTGGCTTGCTGCAAAATTCGAATACAAAAGCTAATATATGCAGGCATTCCGGCGGAATCATCTTAATCGTGCATGTTCACCTTAGCGGCTTTTGTAATCGTATCCGCCACTCCACCGGGCCTTGCGGTGGCTTGACTCCTCCCTCTCAGCTCTGCAACTTTCACCGCTTCAGCATCTTCGCTTGTCACCGCTTTATCCTGAGGCAACTTTGAAAGAGCATCCTATTGCAATGAAAAACAATTCCCCAGATTAATAAATTAGCATTCTTTTAACCTAAATATGTAATCTTATATAGGTGCGTGGTATCTTAATATTTACCGCTAATACGTCTGAAATGGTGAACTTATTAACGTTCCGCGCTGCATTGGCATTGAAACTGGCGGCGGCTTAGGCTTTTCCGCCCAACCCACCACCTTGCATTTCGTCGCCGGTTGTATTGCATCTCCTTTCTGCTTCTTGTATTGCACTAGCGTCGCTTGATTCAACGGGTTCATCTCTGACAGATACGGCTGCCGTCTCTAGAACTTCGCCGATGGTGATGGGTCCCAGGTCGAAGTATTTGTCGATCTGAGAATTCATCGGCGGTGGTTGGCTCATTTTGATTGATCGATCGATCCAGACCCAAAATTTGGGATAATGAGACAACGGGTGAAAGATTTGGGGGTGCTTTAAATTTAATTACTCGTCTATAAATACATGCTGGACATGCGCCAGGATAGAGTTATAATCCTGTTGATATTTGACGCGTGGATTTACACGTTTCGGCTTACGAGAGAGACAGCCTGGCATTTGCAGGCTAATTAGAGACGTCTTTTCATTTCTTTAAGCCTTCTATCAAATGTGTTCCATGCTTTTATGGTTCATATCTTTTTCAAAAATAAATAATAATAACTGTTTCTGTTTTACATAATAAAATTTTTTCTAAAAAAATTGTATGTGTTTAAAAAAAGGTAAATTGTAGAATTGTTCACTTTCATTTGAGTTTTATAATTTTTTTACATTAGATTCAAGACATATAATATTTGATCTCATTCGTTTCGTTTTAATTGTGGTATGGTCACTTAAGGTTAACAGTCGTTAAACCTTTATTGATTGTTGACGTGACACGATGAATATATAAAATTAAAATTATATCATTTTCTGGTAAATAATACGTGGATTAAATTTTGATCATTTTCCTTTTATATTTGTACAATTTTGTTTATCAAATTCAAAAAGCATAAGTTTGGTCACTTATTGTTTTATTAAGTTTTGGTCACTTACGTTATTATTTTATTAAGTTTTGGTCACTTAGACATTGAATGTCGTTAGTTTGATGACGTGACCTATTAGTAAAATAGTTTAATTTTTATTTTAACCCCTAAACGTTAGACAAAAATTCTAATTATGAGTCTTTTTTGTAAATTCAAATTAGTTTAGAGACAACATTTCAATTTACCCATGTTTTAATATTTTTCTCTCCAACCTCTAATATTGCCTCTCTGTTCCTTCTTCAGACATCTCTGCTCCATTACAATAGCCTTCTTGTTTCTAACTATTATTTGTAATTATTTGAAGTCAAATTAGGTGAGTTCTCAATTGTAATAAAGGTATAAAAAGAAGTAATGAAGATCGTGAAAAATGTAGAGAACACACCATCAAAATTCTGAAAAGATTCAACACACGGCAACGCCACCTTCTCGAGCCAAGAAAACTAGAGTTTATCAACGACGACGTTATTGATGACACGGTATCAGATTTCCATCTCCGGTGCGTTGTTGAACAACAAAATTATCGTGATGCGAAAGATTGTCAAGAACATTTCGTCACATCAGAACGTGATCGACCTCCACGACGTTTATGAGGATCAAGCCGAAATTCACTTAATATTAGAGTTATGCTCCGACAGTGAGTTGTTCGATCGGATCGTCACAAAAGGATCCATCGATTATGTTTTACCGGAGGCATTTTCTCAAGGAAAAATCACCATAAATAGTGATATCTGGTTGTCGGGTTATTTGTATCCATGGATTTGTCTTCTTGTTCATTGTTAGATTTGATATCATGCAAACTCAATCTTTGGAAATTGAATTTTAGTTTAATAACTGAGATTACCATGCTTCATTTTATCTCTAAATGCCTATCCTCTCATTTTTCTCTGAACTTGAACTTGTGGTGTTATTATTTGTTATTGGAAATTGGAAATCTTGTATTATTCTTGAAATGCAATATGAGTCCTTGAAAGAAGACAAATGGAGCAATGAAACAGAGATGTCTGAAGAAGAAGCAGGGAAGATGAATAACAATAGGGTTGGGAAGAAGTAGGGAGAAGATGAATAATAATAGGGTTGGGAAGAAAACATATTAAAAATGGATCAATTAAAAAGTTGTCCCTGAATTAATTTGAGTTTACAAAAAGACCAATAATCAATATTTTGTCTAAAGTGTAGGTTAAAATAAAAATTAAATCATTTTACTAACGGGCCACGTCATCAAACTATCGGCATTTACCGTCGAAGTGACCAAAACTTAATAAAACGATAACGTAAGTGACCAAAACTTAATAAAATGATAACATAAGTGACCAAAACTTATATTTTTTAATTTAGTGAGCAAAAGTATATAAATATGAAAGGAAAATGACCAAAACATAATCCACGTGTTATCTAAATTGAAAATGATGTAATTTTAATTTTATATATTTATCGTGTCATGTCAATAAACCGTTAAAGGTGTAACGACTGTTAACATTCATTGGCCACATGTTAATTAAAATGAAATGAAATTGAGCAAATATTATATTTTTTGAATTTAGTAAAGAAAAATTTATAAAACTCAAACTAAAATAATCATTTATGTAGTTTACCGTTTAAAAAAATTAAAATTATATATATGCTCTATAATGATTGAAGAATGAAGAGTATATGTTGAAATTTAATGAAAAGTATTCAAACAAAAGTAGAATATTATTAATTAAATAGATATTTTGGGAAGAAAATGATAAATATATATAGTTAATCTTGATGCATGATAATTGTGAACGTAACTATTCATGTCTAAAATTTTTAAATTATCCCATTATTAAAATTTTTAAAATTTAATATTATTTTTTAAATCCTGAAAAGATACTAATACCCCACATAACATGAAAGTTATGGAATTAGCAGATGAGTAAAAATTTAAAATTAATTGAGATGATTTAGAGTTCCGATTATAACTAGGGGTTAAAAGATAATTGGCAATCCCTCTAAATAGTTCTCAGTCAGGCCAAAATTTTAGTAACTCGAACAAGATTTAATATAAAAATAAATATTTAAATTATATTATTACGGGGAATGCATTTCATCTTAAAAAATTTCCAGCTTTCATTGAATTCATGTGGGTTGATTTTACCATCTTAGGGCCCAGCCTGGAGATATATAGAAAATTCTCGAGCAATTATGAGATCCAAGGACAGCAATGGTTTAATGGTCGCAATTCAATTAACAGTCGGTCGATTTACCGAGTATATTTAATCTTAAAAACTCTTACGGGGATAATGGATGATATAGTAACATTTATAATGTTGGGTTGATTGTGCAGTAGCATCCTGTCCCAACTCAAAAGGACCAATTAATTGGGAAATAACTAGGTAATTTGCCTGCAATCTAATCGATTAAATGATTTATTACCGACAAAACATCAGATATAGTGATCTTATTGTAATCGTAAGCCACATGGTCATTGAAATTAACGGCAGCTTGAGCTTTGGCCCCAAGGCCGGCTACGTTACTACCCGCGGCTCTCGCCTCAGCTGCTCGTATTGCTGCTACAACGCCTCGGTCGACCGGTTTGTCGCCGACAGAGATAGCAGCTGCTTCCAAAGCTTCTCCTATGGAGATGCCACTCGAATCAACCGCAGCCGTTGCAGGTGCCGGTCGCACATTACCAAAGTTGGAGTTGGAGATGGGGAAAGGGTTGAAGGCGCAGCACCGATGACATTGAAGACATCGCCGAAGTTGATGCCTTCCTGGTAAGAAGGCTGGGTCTTCTGGGTTGTCGCTGGCTCATTTTTGGAAGGCTTGGAGGGTTCGGGAGAAGCATTAGAGGGCATATAAATGCGTATTCTACATGTAACTTAGTCTGCATGTTTCAGCCGTGTAAAGAGACATTTGGAGCATATGTGGTGGAGTTTCGGGCGTAATATTTAGCCTCCAAATACGAGCAACAGCCCAAGTTTTATCGTCTCCAATTATATTAACATTATAATTACGAGTCCGAATATAAACATAGATTGATTTATATAATCATACCAAGAAACAACACATAAAGTAGACACTTCATATTACTTTACGAATTTTAATTTGCATTATTATTGCAAGTAAAACAATAAGATTTAAGCTCAAATAAAATTTGTAGCATCCTAATTCGATACAAAATATCTTTAGAATTTATAAATGTCTTATATTTCGAATCACTTGATTGACCCATAATTAAAATTTCTATTAAAGCTATAAAAATTTGAACTAAAGAACAAATAATACAAATCTGAAGCTACAATATTAATACATTGAAACAAACTGAAAATATGTATCATAAATTTATAGATTAAAAAATATATGTTTAACATAAAACTATAAATCTTTTTATTAATAATTAAAATGATTTTATAACTAACTATGCTTTTATTAATTTTAATTAAATTTTATTCAATAAAAATATTAAAGATAATAAACATAAATAAAATAATAAACAATTGATCAAGGGTAAATTCTTCATTAAAAAATCTCTTGGGTTAAATAGGGGTGAGTGAAATTTTCACCAAACCTAAGGAGAAAGTTATTTGCCTTTATTATTATTATTTCAAAAGTTAAATAATAATTTAACCATTTAAGTTGAAGTAAACTCTAAACAGTAAATTTTAAATTAATTATAATTTTATTTTATTTGTTAAATAAAATAAAAGTATTATAATTTTGTTGAATTAATATTTTTGATATAATAATATAAATTTATAATTTAGTAAAAATAATTCAAAGTCTAAATTAACTTTAAAAAAATATGTTTTAAATGTTTTCTAACTTAATTAAACTTTTCAAAAACTTACTCGACCGTTTTCACACGTTAATGTTGAAGGATTTTTGGCTCAAAGGATCGATCCCTTAGCAAAAGGATCAATCTCTTTTACCAAAGGATCCATCCCCTTGAAAAAGGATCGATCTCCTAGAAAAATAACCGATCCCTTGGATTCCAGTAAATTTTGGATCGATCCCTCGATGAAAAGGATCAATCTCTTCACCTTAAGGATCAATCCCTTTCTTGCAACGGGCGAATTATTCGAAAAAATATCGATCCCTTTCTTACAACAGTCTAATTATTTGAAAAATTATTGATCCCTTGTGCATTAAATGTTATTTTTGGTTGTAGGTAAAGGTTATAACTTATCTCCAACTGTCATAAACGGCTAAAAACTCATTCCATATTATAAAAATAAGTCAATGACACTTGAATAAGATTACTACACCTATCTAAGCTTAGAGATCAAAAGAAAAAAAAATACATTCTTTATTTTTTTTCATTTTATCTTCTACATAAGTGTATGGAGTTTATTGTGTATCTTTTTAATTTATTTTTTGTGAGCTTAATTCTCATAAACACTTATCATAAGAAGTTTTTTTGTTTATACAATATAAATCTTGTAAAAAGAGGAGAGATTCCAGTTTGACCTTTAGAAAAACTAGAGAGTTGTAAAAATTATACCTTATTCTTGAAAGGAAAGAACAAATTAGTAAATTTGTTAGAAAATCCTTAGTGTGGAGTTAAGGTAGTGAATATAGATTTGGTTAAGAAATCAAACTACTATAAATCTTGTTAAATTTTCTATATTTTATTGTTTTCACACCAAATATTTTCAAAAGCCAATTAATCTCTTTTGACGGTTTTCAATTGATCAAAAATCGAACCTAATAAAATCATTAATTAATATATAGAAGTAATATATTAATCATATATATTATCAATTACATCGGGTGGCACATATTGGTTTCCATCGAATTACAAAGAGGTGCATTTTGGTTTCGTACCGGCCGGTCTCAAAATCTGGCGGTTCCCTCCGTCATTGAAGATTTGAAGTTGTGTTGTATGGCTAGTTTTGTGGGCGAAGCTTCTACACTTTATTCCCCTATTGATAAATTTTATCTTTTACTATTGAAAAGTATTTTTCATCTCAATTCAAATAATTGTATACGTTATGGATTACATCCTTCACACGCAACACCATATTGTATTAAAAAAGATGAGCAAGGGAAAGCGAGATCCGATCATCAATTGGACAAAAGGTGGAATGAGTTTTGCACCACAGTCCATGATTGTGATGCCTCTTCATCATTTAAATATATCCTTTTAGGGGTCATGATAATCAATTCACGTTCACAAATTTGGACTTATCAAAGTATCAAACTTCTCAACTACTACTAATTATTTATTTGTTTCACTCCTCTACGAATTGATCTAGAAAGAGACAAGAGTTCATATCTATTTCATCAAAACTAAATCCGTAATTAAGATATGATTAAGGGTTGTTTTATATTGTCACGCCCTTGGAACTTAAACACCTCGAACGTGCGGCCTTAGTCGCCTTCTCTGTGATTGCGGCTAAGTCAGCCTGAAAACAACCCAAGCAAAGATGCTTAGATACCCAACGGAAGTAAAAACAAGAGAACTTAGCACAATAAGCAAGACAAGAGAACTTTGAGAGAATGCTCTGTGATTTCTCAAAATGAAGAAGTCTTGCTTATTGTGCTAAGTTCTCTTGTTTTTGCTTCCGTTGGGAATCTAAGCATCTTTGCTTGGGTTGTTTTCAGGCTGACTTAGCCGCAATCACAGAGAAGGCGACTAAGGCCGCACGTTCGAGGTGTTTAAGTTCCAAGGGCGTGACAAGTGGTACCAGAGCTAGTTTTGCGAGAAATGGCACAACACAACAATGACGAGGTCCCAGCAGCCAGTGAAGTGATGGAGACTCGTGCTGTTGCGGCGAAGAAGCGTGGAAGCTCGAAGGATGTCGTGGCATCATTTGAGCAAAGGGTTGGCAGATTGGAAGATCGATATAACGAAGTTCAGGAGACTCAAGACTCGGTTGAATCTCGCTTGGAGAAACTGGAGTCTGTGGAGGATGTGCTTCGCGAAGAAACCCAAACACTCATCAACGACATGACAGAGACGGTGGATGAGCGTACCCGAGGTCTCGAGAGCATGTACTTGGCCATGAGGGCCGAACTGATGCGGGAGATATGAAGGAGCTCAAGAGTGAGCTGCTTGTCTACAAGGCTGCAGTGTTGAATGGAGTGACTGGGGAGGCGCAAGCACCAAGACCCAGGATCGACGTCCCTAAGCCGAAGGAGTTCAAGGGGAGTCGAACTGCCCAAGATGTGGAGAATTTCATCTGGGGCATGGAGCAATTCTTCCGAGGCATGGGCATCGGGGATGATGCCACCAAGGTAAATGTTGCTTCAAATTATCTTGCTGATGCTGCTATGTTATGGTGGCGACACAGGTGTTCCGAGAGGACGGATCCGGTTGGGACATGAGAGGAGTTCGTGGGCGAACTCAAAGAGCATTTCTACCCGAAGAATGCTGTGCTCGAGGCTCGAGCAAAACTGAAACAGTTGAAGCATGACCGTACAATCTTGGAGTATGTCAAGAACTTCACTGAGATCAAGATGCAAATTCCCGACTTAGGTGAGTCAGAAGGGTTCTTTGCATTCATGGATGGACTACAACGGTGGGCCAACTTGGAGATCCAGAGGAGGGGGAGTGAAAACTCTCTCCAAGGCATTGGATGAAGCCGAGGCCATTTCCCTATTTGAAATAAAGAAGATCGACTCTCACAAACCAAAGCCAAAACCCAAAGGTAATGGTGGGGGAGAGAAGGCCAGAGGAGGCTCCAACAAGCCAGCAGGGGGTAATGGGAAGCAGAATGATCGACCCAATTCCATTCTTCTCTTTGTGAGAGAATAATAAAGCTCTGAGGCATTTGCTCTATTCTTTCTGAGTTCTTAGTTTCTTTGTTCTTGTTGCCTAGCTTGGTGGCCAGGAGTAGCCACCTTCGTGTTAGCACTTCCACACGATAGTCCGACCTTGTGGCTCCGAGTAGCCACGTTGGTGTTTAAAGCTTCCGCAATCTGAAGCCTTGAGGGCTTGGTTCCAACCTTTGTGAGTTTGCACACTCACTTAGCTTGGGTAAGGCTTACTTAGTCGCCGAGAAGACCAAGGAGCGTCTAAAGCGTCTAAGGCCGCACGACCCGTCAGACCTTGACTCTGATATTCCGACGGTGTGAGGCGTCGAAGTTCTGGGGGCGTGACAATATACTCTGAACCAAGATAAATCATAGTTGGGATTTATTAAATGAAGATTTTCAATTTATTATTTTATTAGAAAAAACATCCAAACATAGTTAATTTGAAAAATACTTCCTAAATTATGGTCTCGTGTTCTGTGAAAAATAAAATCAAACCTTATGTTTTACGATAAGCAGTTTAAAGTATTTATTGTATCTTTTATCAAAATATTAAATTAAGTCATTTAAAAAGTTGACAGATCTCGTGTTTTGCAAAACTCGAGATTTGACCTCACTTTTTACAGAATACGAGATCATACAGTTTGAGTGAATTTTTTCGATTAATATTGTCTGGGGTTGTTTTTCTAATAAAATAATAAATGAGGTTTTTTTTTATTTAAAAAAACGCCATAGTTGGGTAGACGGTATGATCACAAAGTGAAAAGGAAGACAGTTGTATGAGTGAAGTAATTATAGGAATAAAGAAAGATAAAGGCGAGTTTAGTTCTCAATCATGCATCACTTAACGTATGGAATTAAGCCAATCATTTAAATAATTTACTCAAACAAAAATTATTCTCATCCTCTTCTTATCTCAGATCTGCAGGTAGAGGAAAAAAGATGAACAAAATAAGAATAAGTGAAGAAAATTCTTAATTCTCGTCTCCATCCAGGAGCATTTCTTGATATCGGCACTCTGGACTGCAAAAAGCTTTCTCACCTCTGGCATGGCAAACACAAGAAAGCATAAAAAATTGATCAGAATAAGCATTAAAACCTAATGTAATCGTGTGTTCGTTTTGTAAAACAAACTTGGGTTTTCACCTGTAAATGTAAATGTCAACTTTCTGTTCAAGATTCTTGTTGCATGTGTGACAAAAGCTAAGGAAACTCCCGGTTGCAGGCTTGGGCTCATTATCCGGTACAGTAAAGTAGCTTTCCACGACGTAGTTACCGAATATGTGTGTGGTTCTGGGATTAGGACCGTGAGATATCACGCATGTATAG